AGACAAGCAAATGAATAACCCCATAGTTCAAAGTAAAGTCCAGTCCTATCTTCTGTTTCCTAGAAGAACCAACCAGAGGCCTCAAGGAAATCCCCAAGTAAGGTTTGAAAGGCAATGCTGCTCACTTGTCTTCGGTCATTTTATACTTTGGATGTAAGTCCACTTCTGTGCAGTATTTAGTGATCGTGAAAATGTTCTTCTTCCAGTGGTCCTTACAATTATCACAAGTAATTAGACTCCGTGCACGTGTGTGTGTGTGTGTGAGAGAGAGAGAGAGACACATCTCTGTTAATTAGCACTGGAAAAGTGATTAGCAAACAGCTGGTCCATTACATCCGTTCCAGACCTTTGCTGTTCAACCAGTTTTTATTAAATAAACCCGTGTACACAATGTTTGTGTTTGCAGTAAATGTCCTACAGTTGGAAAGCTCCCCGTACCTTTTTAAAATAAAACAGGAAGAATTTTTCCTTCCCTTTATTAAACTTCTTCAGAAGTTGAGAGGAATCCAGCTGGCCTCCTAGAAGAAAGACACTTCCTTAGCCTTATCTGGAGATGGGACTCTGGATTGCTGGTGCTGAATAAGATAGCATAAACTTTATGTTACCCTTACCAAGACTGGTACTCTTGTGGCATTATTCCCATTAGCTGACACAGACAGCACTTCTGGAAGGCAGAAGTGGGAAAATCAACACTCTAGACAAGGGGTGGGGAACTATGGCCCCTTTATGATTTGTGGCTCAGGAATTGAAGTTCACACGTCATAAAGGGGCCATAGTTCCTCATCTCTGCTCTAGACAGTATCTAAAATCACTGAGCAAGCTAGCTTTATGCTGAGCAAAATGCTATCAATGTGGATCTTAAAGAATTTATTTAACAAATATATGTGGCCACCCAATTCATATATGGTAACACCGGGAGGTGTACAGCATTAAAAATCCACAACCTAAAACTTTGCCTCCCTACCTCCCTCAAGGCAGCAACCTGTATAATCAATCACACAAGCCACTTGACCAGCTCCGTAGTAGTCTGGGCTCCACAGGCCTGCTGACAAAACCACATCTTCAGGGCCTTCCAGAAAAGTAGCAAGGTGGATGCCAATCTTATCTTGAAGGGAATTGTATTTCATAGGGAGGGAGCCACCACTAAGAAGGCCTTTTTTCTTGGTTTCACAAGATGTACTTTTCCAATAGTTGGAACTTGCAACATATCCTGTTTTTTTCCCCTCGGTGAACTGGAGAGAGGCTGTCCTTCAGATAACCTGTCCCCTAGCCATGTGGGGCATTAAAAGTGATAACTAGCACCTTGAATTGTACCCAGAAGCAAATCAGCAACCAATCCATCTCTGGCAACAAAGATGACACATGCATGAATCTAGGTTTGCACAGGCTCTTTGAAGAGAAATGTAAACATTGCTTTTATCCAGAAGGTAAGAAAGAGGGGAGAATTATGATCCAAGGTTGATTTCTCATGGAATTAATTTCAAAACCAGGCTTTGTGGGACACACTAGGTACATTAGATGGGGGGGAATGGGAGAATTAGGCCTCTGTGCTACAAGATCAGATCAGAATTTCTAAGAACAGCTCATGAAGAACTGCAGATGCCCTTGGACTTTGGTGCACCATAGTAAAAAAAATAAAAATAAAAATGTAAAAAATATCCTGCCAGCTTGATAACAGGCAATGAAATAAAACAGCCACTCCAAAGCCACAATATCTCTCCTATCCCAGGGCCCCTTCTAAACTTAGCATTAGCAGCTTGTGCTCTCTAAGTGCATGCCGTATCTAGCACCGTTTCAATGATCATCTTTGAACGTTTTGAAGAGTTGTGTTTCTTTGCAGATTTGGAAAAAAAACCTAATCTGAATACAATACTGTCTGTACCATGTAGCATCAGCAAGAAAAACTTGATTAATACCTTGTAGTGCCCATGGTATTTTGGACAATACTAATAAAATCTCCATATGAAATCTTGTTTTTTAGACCCAGCTTAATTTCTTAGTGCTTTTATGTCGTAAGCATAAAAGATTATTCCTGCATTATTGTTCATGTGAATCTTCAACAAAATCTTGCAGTTGTTCATAGCGGTACAGGAAATCTTCAGGCAGGACTATGATTTGTAGGCTAATTGCTCTTACAGTTAATGTCATAGGTATATATTTTACTTGTCAAGTCAGAGGAGTTGATGTTGAATGGAAATTGGCAATTGGAGAATACAGCAAGAAGGAACACGACGTAATTCCCTTCTCTTGGCTTATAGCAGTTGTCAAATGTGAGAAACAAAATGCTGGACTAGAGAGACTTTGGTCAGTTCTCATAGGACTCTCCTGATAGTCATGCTACATTTTGCTGGTTTCCAGTCCTGTATCAAGTAGAGGAATAAAGATGTGTGGAGAAGTCATTCCTGGATCCCATTTTTAAATTTTAGGGACATTTATCAAGAATCCTTGCTATCTACCAGACTAAATCTTTTGACTTGGCTATTCAGTATGCTTCCAAGTGGCAACAGCCTGCACTTATAAAATTTTATAATGGATACAAGCATGTTCTCCAGTATGGAGATAACCTTCTCCTATTAAAAGTGGAATATTTAGAAATCATACCCAGTTGTCTTTATCTCCACTTCTCTTTCCCCTCTTAAAAAAAATAGTGCAGCAGGTTTTTGCTCCCCATGGAGCTAATAGTTTTTATGGATATAGGGGACCGTGTCATTGCTGGAAAAACATACTTTCAGAAATTCCTCATCCTCCCAGAAGTCATTTGGGGTTTCATGTTTCTTCTCCAATTCAATTTTTAAAGATCTGGAAGATCCTAATTATACCTTTCCAACCCTAGCTCTAATTTAGTTCTTGGTGAACATTTGACATCCAGGTTACATATTCTGACTCATCAAATTATAACTTGCATCTTACCAAATATGAGAAACTTCAGGATTTCTAAAGGTATTTTCCATGTTCTTTTTAAGATGAAGTCCAGGATTTCTGGGTAATTCACATTTACAGTACTCTTACAGAATGTCTAAACTACTAGCCTTTACATCAGGGGTCTTCAAACTTGGCCCTTTTATGACTTGTGGACTTCAACTCCCAGAATTCCTCAGCCAGCTTGCCTGGCTAAGGAATTCTGGGAGTTGAAGTCCACAAGTGTTAAAGGGCCAGGTTTGAAGACTCCTGCTTTATATTATTGTTTTAAAAGGGCATGTATGGTATCGGGGAATCGGTGTAAGATATTTGACTTGGAATAACAGTTGTATATGTTGTATGAACTCATCAGTTTGTTTTTACTTTATTTTACAATTGAATATTTGCAATTCTAACCATAGCTGAACAATTCCTTAGGTCACCATGGGAACTTCATTTCAACACAAGTATGACATCACAAGTATGACATGCACATAAAGAAAAAGGGCTTCAATTGCCTAGTGGCACCTGCCATTATGATGCCAAGACACATGCACACTACAGTTCTGCAGCAGACTTCCCAAATCTGGTACCTCCTGATATACTAAGACTACAACTCCCAGGATTCCTAGCTAGTCTGGAGTTTGCCTGGTTGGGGAAAGCTGGCTTTGGAAATTATACATGTGATGTTCTTTCCATTGCCCATAAGGGACACTTATTGACTGTATATTCAACTGAGATTCACAAGAAGGAATTCCTGTCTAGGCAAGTTAGGAAAGATTTTGGCAATATTAGGCTTTGGAATGAAGAAAAGACAATTTGGTAAAACTGCTCTTGAAAACTAAAGTAGACCATATATATGCTAAGGCTGCAGCCAAAATGGAATATTTTATTAATCTTAGTTGTAACAACAATTATCAAAAGTAGAAAACAAAACTCAGAAGCTACAAAAATAACATAAATCTGGCTTTAAAATATCACAATGACTGATACTTTACACACGTAGTACAATAGTAGGTAGCCTACCACAGCATCAGAAGAGATCAATAGCAACGCAGTATAGAATGCATCTAAATGGCTCTTGCTCAGACCTGGCTTAACAGTATCCCAGCTAGCCACATCTGCCTTACCTGCACTGTGGTTTTGCCTTGAGAACAGAATAAGCAAGTAGCAATTTCTACGCCCAGAACATAATGAAACATCTCAAAAGATCACTTCTGCCCAATTATATTTGTAGAAATTCAGGCCTTGCTAGTCTACAGGATAAAAATCCTGTTGAGTTAATATTGCAGAACTATGTGATGGGAGAGTTGGAATTTGAGTGGAATAAACCCAAAATTCTCCTTACTGCCTCGTCTGCAATAAGCTTTTTTTTTGAAGAGGATTTTTTTTTATTTGATTACAGTGGAGGCTGAAATGAAAGGCAGAATTAATTTTTCAGTAGGCAAGAACAGTTTGTGAAAACAACCTCCCTGTGGAAAGGAGTTCCAGCTGACCTCCAAAAGCAAATGGGATATAAAGATGGTTGATAGGAAAGATTTCAATTCTGGAACAGCAAGGAATGTCGTTGGATAAATTTGAGAAATATTTCTATCTTTAATCTGATCTGACCTGATTGGGAATTGGAGAACTTTCATAAAGCTTTGAGCAACTCAGAGGAAGGACAGATAAGCATCTGCCATATAACTAGACCATGAATAATTGTCATCCTATATCCTCCGTCATCTCAGCACCCGCCAAATAGATCAGATTACAATATCCATAATTACTAGCGCAGCCATTAACCTGCTTCCTGGATGTCATGGAGTTGAAGACCAATACAATTAAACAAGACGATGCAATAGTAGTGGAAGCTATCTTAGTATAAGGATCAATCATTTCTCTTGGTGGTCTTCCTTGCACCTCTGAAGTAAGGATACTATTAACCCTGACAAGGGAAGAATAACGCAAATACCATTTTCTGCAATTCCCAGTTCCTTCATAGACTTCCCATCCATCTGGACCCTGCAAACATTTGGGTTTCCATACTGTAGATGTAGCGATGAACAATCTTGATCATGGAATAGTCCCATCTTGGAAATGGAATGATTCGTCCAACATGTTCATTCATTATTTCTCACAAGCAGGAGCCAGGGAAGTACAGCCCCCAACAGAGCAACAGCAGAGATAAGGAAAACAGCCATCATAATAGGTGACTGGAAGCAGCCCATTCCAGGACATGTTTGTGACGCCTCTGTGTCAGGAGCTTCTCCGGTGCTGTGATCTTGAGCTATGGTAACATAGTCCTCTTCAATCAGTGGCATTCCACACTGAGTAATAATGAAGATATGAGATTCACGTTCCAGGCCAATGGGCTGTACAATGGAGTCCATGGTAGGATACCTCTGCAGACATTGGTGTCTGTCATAAGTGTGCAGTGGCAAGAGGAAATGGCCAGGAACCACCAAAGTATTTGCAGAGCTGGGTGGCACTCCACAGGTGAGTGGCAACGAGGAAGGTGAGAGAGGCAACTCCAAAGAGGATGGATTCAGGGCTGGCTTGGAAGGCAGGCAGTCCCTTTTATTACAGAGAAAAGTCACAAAGCGACAGATGGGACATGTAAGGGTATTTGGTAGAGGGCCTTCTTCATGTGACAGTAGACACTTGACCAAACAGTCATGGCAAAATGTGTGGCCGCAGCTCAGCATCCGGCGTGACACTTTTGGAGACTGAAATGTTTCGTAACACACAGGGCACTCACCCGGGGTGGCGGCGGGAGCTTCTTTGCTAGTGTTGTTCTGAGACATCCCTGCCCTCTAAGATCACTTCTGTGAAGCAAGCTGGATGAAAAGCAGAGCATACAGATCTGTAATCAAACAGCTACAAATTGAAGAAGAAGAAGAATATGTAAATGTAACACAAGGCTTGATTCCAAGCAGCTGGGAGGAGCTGCTCTCCAAACCCAGAAGCTCCCTGTTCCATCCATGTGTGGATCCACAGAGATGCTATTTAGACAAGGCTGTACAACCTAATGTAACCTGGGACAGTATTTGGTCCCATAAAGGCTTGGATGTGGCCCTTACGGCCCCACCAAACTGGCAAAACAGGGAAGTCATTAAAATTCATGGGAAGAAATCACATCAACTGTATTTCATTAATCTAATTTTAAATCCTGTTTGTGATTGTTAGATACACACACAAACACAAACACACAAACTTTTCTAACTCGCTTTCCAGCCAAAATAGTTTCACTTAACCCATCTCTTCCTATATCCAAGTTAGCTAACAATCAAAACCATAACAATACAGTATAAATTACCACCACCACCTTTCAAATTGCAGCAAAATAAAAATAAAAAAGCAGGATAAAATACACATTAGCTACCCCCAATATATTACTGCATTATTTGGTTGGTATGACACCAATGTGGTACACAGTTACGTACGTACATTATCATAAGATGCTCAGATGTGATTCATCCATGGAGGTCATTTAAAGGAGATTGTTTTCCGAGGCTCCGGTGCTGTCCCATGAAGAATGCCCTCAGAAGTATCTTCTTCCCGGGCACCAAGCCTTTCCCAAGCACCTTTCCATGTACTCAATCATTCTAGGTCTGATCTTCCCAGCACCCTAGAAATCAGCTTGCCTATATAATGAGAGATAGTTGCTGGGTGGCACACACACTAGGACTATGCTCTGTCTCTTGCATCACACCTTTAAGAGCTTAAAGGGTGGCTCCCAAGGAGTGAATGTGGAGGAACTTGTTTGTGAACTGAAGTTTTCTCCTTCTCTATTTGGGACTTGGGGAGGAGTCCCCAGGAAGATACCTTTTTTTGGGCCCTGCTGTGCCATGCCTATTAGATGAAATATACTGAAACTAAGTTACTATTGTATCTTAAACTTGTTTATTTCTGACTTATTGGAATGCTAGGCAGATTTGTTACTCTGCTATAACAGAGTAAGACTACCATCTCTAGGGCTCAAAAATTCAGATGGAAGCAGATATCATTAATTTAACGAATTAACATTCATTAACCAACCTTGGGATTGGCTGGTGCCTTGATGTCCCTCCTCCCACCTTTTAATTTTTAACTTTAATCATTCTGTTCCTGCTTTAATTGCCTTCTGAAAGAATATAATATTTATATGATTTTTATCTTTTAATTGTACACTGCCCAGAGTTGCTCTGTTGAGTGGGATGGGCTGTCGCCACATTTAATATATAAATAGATTTTCAGGATGTCGTTGCTATTGCTTATATTGCCCGTAGTCTGATAGTTGGGGAGGCATGCAGAAGAGCCCAGATACAAAATCAGAGATCTTCTAGTAAAGTTTGAAAATCTGCATGTATCCTCTGAAAATATATGACTATCGGTGTCAGCAATTTGGGGTTCAATATAAAGCAGATTACTGCATCGTTATATTACCAGCAACCGTTCTAAAGACACTGATGAAGTTCATATGTAATGTGTTGGACCTGGCTTGGTGGGATGTTCCAATAGAATAGACTATCTGTAGCTCAAGGTTGACCTGTGAAGTTCTTGGTGCTCTCTGAGCTTGGTTGTTTACTTGCACACTTTTCATTACCCAACTAGGTAATAAGTTCAGTGCAGTGCTGATATTATCTAGTTGAGTTAATGAAATGTCTGCAAGCAAATAACCAAGCTTAATAGAATATATATGAAAGTGTGTGTGTGTGTGTGTGTGTGTGTGTGTGTGTGTGTAAACCATAGGTTTGGCTGGCTTACTATTTTATGTAAATGTAGCCAATTATGACTGTTCAGTATATCATGGTTAAATAAACCATAGTTTGTCATGATGTACTAAATTGCATATATAGTTCAGGAACTTCAGTTGGTCAAGAATGCAGCAGCTCTTTGCCCAATTGATTGATTGGTTGGTTCTGTATTTACATAAGTAACATAATTGCCTGCACTTTTGAGTCTTAATTAAATCCTTCTAAGTTAAGGAAGAATTATTGATTGGGAAACTTGGGAAAGATTTCATATTCAAAACTATAGATAAATCGATTGAAGATTAGGAGGGTATCCCCTCCCATCTTGACATTAAATGAGAGCTGGATTCAGGTACTAGGCCATCTAGGTTTAGATTGGCATGTTCTAAGATGCGGTAAACACTATCATTTTCTTGCAAGGACCAAAGGATAAATTTTGACAGTCCTTTCAATAGGATTTTGGGAAGAGCACAGAATCCCCATCAAATAAGTGGAGGGAATTTTTACATGGCACTGCTCCATGTACTTTTTATTTTTAAATTTGGTACTTCGGACATCACAATAAATAAAAGTTAACAGGAGTTTTCTTGGTTGATAGTTAGTCTCCTGGCCATAATAAATATGCTTTACCAGATGTAAAATTAAGATATTTAAGAACTAAATCCTTTTAATATTTAATTTTAATATTTTTTTACCCAGAATGGCATTTGTACAAGCAAGGCTAATCTATTAGAAAAAGCATGACAATATACTTTATAAATGGAAAATTATCCATAATTATCCATAATTGTTAACTTTTTTTTTTTTT